ACTTGATTATACTGTTTAAGGAAATAGTTCTGCCAAAAATTAACATTTGGTTAAACAATGAATATGCTGTTTTCCGTTCAAGGAACGTGGATGGTGTTTTATGCTGTCAAGATCCAAAAAGGACATAAAGGCAGCTTAAAAATATAATGGAATCTGAACTCGTGCACTACATTTTTGTAATTTTTGTATGGAAAATTATTATTCAACCCACTTTGATTGTGTGGGGAAAAAAGCTTGAATATGTCACCTCAAGATACATTTTTTTGTTTCACAAAAGAAAGAAAAGAGTTTGAATGAGTGGATTAGTAAATGGTTATTCGTTATTTAATAGTAGTCCAGCCATTTGGGATTTTCAGTGGCCAGTTTTTTCTTCTACTTCACACAGTACTTAATAAAATAATATAAATATACATTTAAATATAAAAAGTGAAATTATGTGTCACAATATTTACTCAGAGTTCACTAAATTTCATTTTTTATTTAGTCTTTAGTTTATAGTCTTAATATAATCTGAAATTATTGATTTTAATAATCAGTTATTCTAATAATCACTTTTGTTTACATCACATTTTGTTTTAAGTAAAAATTAAAATAACTCTTTAATAAACAAGATACCTCTATAAACTGCAGAAATACACAAATATTTTTGTGAAAATTTTTTTCTTAGCACACTTTCATTGTGTGGAAAAACAAAACTTGGATAATTTGCCTTCAGATCTCCTCTCCTCTCCTCTCCCCTCCTCTCCTCCTGTCCTCTCCTCTCCTCTCCTCTCCTCTCCTCTCCTCTCCTCTCCTCCTCTCTTCTCCTCTCCTCTCCTCTCCTCCTCTCTTCTCCTCTCCTCTCCTCTCCTCCTCTCTTCTCCTCTCCTCTCCTCTCCTCCTCTCTTCTCCTCTCCTCTCCTCTCCTCCTCTCTTCTCCTCTCCTCTCCTCTCCTCCTCTCTTCTCCTCTCCTCTCCTCTCCTCCTCTCTTCTCCTCTCCTCTCCTCTCCTCCTCTCTTCTCCTCTCCTCTCCTCTCCTCCTCTCTTCTCCTCTCCTCTCCTCTCCTCCTCTCTTCTCCTCTCCTCTCCTCTCCTCCTCTCTTCTCCTCTCCTCTCCTCTCCTCCTCTCTTCTCCTCTCCTCTCCTCTCCTCCTCTCTTCTCCTCTCCTCTCCTCTCCTCCTCTCTTCTCCTCTCCTCTCCTCTCCTCCTCTCTTCTCCTCTCCTCTCCTCTCCTCCTCTCTTCTCCTCTCCTCTCCTCTCCTCCTCTCTTCTCCTCTCCTCTCCTCTCCTCCTCTCTTCTCCTCTCCTCTCCTCTCCTCCTCTCTTCTCCTCTCCTCTCCTCTCCTCCTCTCTTCTCCTCTCCTCTCCTCTCCTCCTCTCTTCTCCTCTCCTCTCCTCTCCTCCTCTCTTCTCCTCTCCTCTCCTCTCCTCCTCTCTTCTCCTCTCCTCTCCTCTCCTCCTCTCTTCTCCTCTCCTCTCCTCTCCTCCTCTCTTCTCCTCTCCTCTCCTCTCCTCCTCTCTTCTCCTCTCCTCTCCTCTCCTCCTCTCTTCTCCTCTCCTCTCCTCTCCTCCTCTCTTCTCCTCTCCTCTCCTCTCCTCCTCTCTTCTCCTCTCCTCTCCTCTCCTCCTCTCTTCTCCTCTCCTCTCCTCTCCTCCTCTCTTCTCCTCTCCTCTCCTCTCCTCCTCTCTTCTCCTCTCCTCTCCTCTCCTCCTCTCTTCTCCTCTCCTCTCCTCTCCTCCTCTCTTCTCCTCTCCTCTCCTCTCCTCCTCTCTTCTCCTCTCCTCTCCTCTCCTCCTCTCTTCTCCTCTCCTCTCCTCTCCTCCTCTCTTCTCCTCTCCTCTCCTCTCCTCCTCTCTTCTCCTCTCCTCTCCTCTCCTCCTCTCTTCTCCTCTCCTCTCCTCTCCTCCTCTCTTCTCCTCTCCTCTCCTCTCCTCCTCTCTTCTCCTCTCCTCTCCTCTCCTCCTCTCTTCTCCTCTCCTCTCCTCTCCTCCTCTCTTCTCCTCTCCTCTCCTCTCCTCCTCTCTTCTCCTCTCCTCTCCTCTCATCATCTCGTCTTCTTTTCTTCTCTCCTCTTCTCGTCTCCTCTCTCCTCTCCTCTCATCCTCTCCTCTCATCTTCTCCTCTCCTCTCCTCTCCTTGTCTCCTCTCCTCTCATCTTCTCCTCTCCTCTCCTTGTCTCATCGTTTTCTGTCCTCTTTTTCTTCTAATTCTCCCCTTTCATCCTCTCCTCTCCTTGTTTCCTCTCCTCTCCTCTCCTCTCCTCTCCCCTCCTCTCTTCTCATCCTTTCCTCTCCTTTCATCCTCTTCTCGTCTCGTCTCGTCTTCTCTTCTCTTCTCTTCTCTTCTGTCTCTGGTTGACACGTGCTCTGCCTCTGGTTCTGCTCTCATTCCTCAGATGGCTTGTGTACGGTGGTCTACTTTGATGACTGCGTGTCCATCCGTCAGTGTAAGCAGTACTGCGAGTCGATGGGTGGATCAAAGTACCGCTGGTTTCATAACGCCTGCTGTGAGTGCATCGGCCCTGAATGTCTGGACTACGGCAGCAAAGCTGTCAAATGTATGAACTGCCTCATCTGAGAGCCCAACACTGACTTCATACACTTCATCTGCTGTTTTATTGTATAAAACACGTCTGACGATTTCTGCTCTTGTTTACAGATCTTGTTTCTTATTCTTGTCTTTTGGAAAATAAGGTCCTAATAAGGACCTTAAATAAGGTTTTTTTGTAAGTTATCGATATTGTTTGTGAATTATTACAGCAGCATGTAGAGGACATTTCTCATTCAAATCATATTCCATCTGTATATAGTTCTCATTTCGTATTCATATGTCTGGTTTCATTAATAAAAAGTAAAGTTAACTGTTGTGTTTGATTTTCAAAATATTTCACTCATGTTTAAGGTTTTGGTCGCCTGATCTGGTATTTGATGATTTGAAATGAAAAAAGATATTTAATCGGTATTTGAATAGAGTTTGATTGAAGTGTTTGAGTTAAATGTTTTTTTTTTCCCCAAATGACAAACAACATGAATTGTATTTTATTCAAAGTTGAATGAAGAGTAATCAAAATTTAGGTTAATATATACTTTACCTATATGTAAATAACAGAATGTAATATAAATAATAGAATATTCATTTAAAGTTATCTGGCCTTTAATAATGTTCTCAAAACGTTAGCACAAAAACGTTATTTGTACATTGTTTCATAGAACATCTTTCTTCTAAAATGTTTTAGTTGGACATTTGTGTAAAAAATGTTTTTAATGTTACTTGTTTTGGAATGTTCAGGGAACATTCAAAAGTAACATTTCTGTAATGTTTGCAAAATTATAAAATGGAATGTTGGCTTAACATTTGAATAACAAAGAAGAAACGTTTTTAAAACTTTAAAAAAGGACATTTAGAAAACATTCACAAAACGTTTACATAACATAATGGCAAATGTTCTTAGAACGTATGTGGTTAACTGAGCAACTTTAAAAATAGTTTGCAATTTTTCACTATTTTTTAAAACATTTAGCAATTTTACATTTCACTTTTTAAAATATATGTTTAAGCAGTAGTTTGTTTAGGGATGTTGTATTGTCTGTGCTGAACTCCCTCACCGCAGCGCTCGTCTCTGACAAACTCTGAATGTAAGTTGGCATAAATGCATGATGACAGCCAGATGTAGTCAGCATCAGTCAGACCTCATTCACAGCTGACAGGTGTGTGTGTGTGTGTGTGTGTGTGTGTGTGTGTGAGTGTGAGTGTGAGTGTGAGTGTGTGAGTGTGTGTGACCTCATAAAGACTTTATTTGTTTGCATTAAGACACACTTTTACTGTTCTTGCTTTAAAAACATTAATCATGAGTGTCATATATTTGAAGTTTCAGTAATGCTTCAAAATACAGGTTGGGTTTAAATTGCTGCTTGAGTTATTTTATGATTGAAAAGGATTAAACTGAAAATCAGTATTATAGTATCATTGAGACACTTATAGGCTACATTTTATTCATATATATATATATATATATATATATTATTTTTGTTTAGGTTTGATTTTAGTTAAAAGTTAATGATTTTATTTTTAAATATGTATATGTCATTTTCATTCATTTTCATTTCAGTTTTAGTCATTTTAATACATCAAGTTAAGCAAAATAAAAATAGGAAATGTTGCAACTAGCTGAAGTAAATGTTTTGGTATTTAATTTTATTCCAGTTAACATTTATATTATATCAAGTAATAAAAAGTTTCAGTTTAGTGTTTTCGTTTTACTTAAATACATTAACCTTGAACTGAACGAAATTATTGATGTTTTATTGTTCATTTTCATACATAATTTTTAATTTCAAAATGATCTAAAACTAATTGAGGCCTATATGCTTCATTGACTTAGAGATCTTACATTTAAATATTTTTCACTAAAGAAGGAGATCTTAAATAGTATGTTATTGAATTAGTAATATTTGCGTTTCTGAATGGTTGTAAGTGCTTTAGCACCATCTGCAGGATGATAGTGGCATTACAAACTTATAATATGCATAACAAAAGATCTCTGTACGAATAAATATAAATTAGTACAGTATATGAAAACAGTTCTTTGCTGACAAACTCACTCATGGTGAGGTCTTTAAATGGTTAAATGGATCTGCTTAGAGTTTATAATGGCTGGAAATACATTTCTTTCTCCATTAGGTGTCGCTTATTTATTTTCTGTTGTGCAATAAGAAACGTTTTTATTTTCATTTTTTTAACCACGCTTAAAAAGTGGTTAATAAATAAATAAATAAATGTTCGTGTATAAAATAAGTGAACAAAAAATATATATTTAATCTGTATTATCTAAAAACCTAGCCTGTCCTATGGAAAATTGCAGCTAAGTTTATATTGTTTCAAGGGTGTTTTATTTATACTGTAAAACATTCTGATTTGAAGACTTTTTTGCAATGTGTGTGTTTTTTCCAAAACGCGTTCCGTCGTCCGTTCATACTAGTTCTTGTTCCGTCCGGGCTTCCGTACTTTGCCTCGTTCTCGCTCTCAGTCGGCCCTGCAACGAAGATGGCGGAAGCTCCCCCGCGGCCCTGCCGGTTCTTCTGCCACCGGTGTTCGGAAGAGATCAGCCCTCGGCTCCCGGTAAGACGCCGCGGTCTTAACGAGCCTCTCCCGAAGGCTTTGAATCGGTATGGATGCGTGTAACGGAACAAACGGCCTCTTTTATCACGCGTTTCTCCGCGCTCGCTGTGCTAACGGCTAACAGGCTGCTGGTTGCCAATAGCAACACTCAGGATTAAAATGAGGATTTAATCGAATTACACTTAATTGGAGAGGTGAGAGTTTAATCAGACGGACTCTTGGCAGAACTGAGCGCAGATTAAAGAGTTTTCCGGAGTGTAACCTATCAAACCTAAAGGCTGCTTGTTATGACATCAACTCGGTATTTTCACTAACTAGTCCTCGCGAATCATATAATATTGACACGAGGACACTTAGTTAGAATCTTGTCAGATGTGTCTGGTTCGTGTTTCATAAGTGGTTCAGTTGTCTGATCCGTAGGTCATGTGGTTTACTTGGTCTAAACAGAGAACTAGTTATGAATGCAGCTGGGTAACTAGTTGCGTTGTTTATTAAATAGTGTGCAATTAATACCGTTTGCTATAAAGTTTGAGATGTTCATAGCCCTGATTTTTGTGTCTGATCTGTCTTGTCATGTCGTTTAGTTGGCTATAACTGAAAACTGGTGGTTATTAGAGACCAACTAGTTAGATTTTATTAACTAATAATAAGAGACGATGAATTCCAGTGCTTATAAGTTGGTTAGATGCTGATGTTTGTCTTTAGTGTTTGTGGTGTGTTTTTGATATATTATTGGTCGAAATAGTTGGCTGGTTGTTAAGTGGTTAGCTGGTTAGTTTTTGTGTTTTTAACTAGGCCTAATTATAGTAGATCTTTCAAGCCTAATATTTCTGTGTGTATGGTCAAAGTTTAATTTTCTGTGTTTAGTGTCGTTTAGTTGACAGAAGGCTGATTATTTTGAGAGCTACTGTACTGGTTAGTTAAATCATATCAAGTGTTGTGATGAAAGCCAATGTTTGTAAGTTGATCAGTTGCAGATGGATTGTTTTATGTGTGCTTTAGGTTTCTGATCATTGATTGATTGATATGGTTAGCTGTTACAGAAGGCCTGTTAATATGAGATCTACTGGTTAGTGCTATTATCTAATTATTGTAAATAGTATTAAATTGATCTTATCATCTGTGTTCTGTGATGATAAATTGGTGAGATTTTGAAGTCTGATAACGTAGTTGGCTGTTACTGAAGACTGATTGATATGAGATTACCTGGTTAGTTTTACTGACTGATTAGAAGATCTGTTTTATACATCAGTCATATGTATCTGGATCTGTTTTATACATCAAGTTTATGTATAAGCTGGTCTAATTCTATTGATCTGTGGTTTTGGCATCTGATTTGTGATTTATGTAGGTCCGATTTCTTGACTGTAACTGAAGACTGGTTGTAATGAGATCAGCTGATTAATTTGGGAAATGATTGTGAGTAATGTCAGATTAAAATCAGACTTCGATACTTATATGGAGATTAACTAAAGTTAAAAATTAAAACCATTAAAACACACACACACATTTTTGTTACTTGAAATATAATATAAAATAAATATGAGAGCCTTATACTTATTTCAGTTAGTTGCCAAGGCAATATATACTAAAATAACTCAAACTAAAACAGAAAAAAAATAAATAAAAACTATGTAGACGTAAAAAAAAAGAAAAAATGAAAATGGACTATCAAATATTTTATAATATTAATAAAAACTGTAATAGTGTCTCAATTCTACTAAAATAACACTGGTGTCTCTAGTGGTTTTTGGTTGTTTAACATGCAGCCTGTGCTAATGAAAGTCACGCTCTCTGGCTCTACAACTTTCTGCTGACACTCGTAATAAATGAAGCTAGTACAGTTGGAGGATGATGATGTCATTTGTAAAACTGCCTTAATTCACTGTCAGCTGACCCAGGACATGTCAGGAGTTCATCTGAAACCACAGATCTGTTTCATTCATCAGTTTCACACATACTATCATCTCTAGCTGTCAGGAAATACCAGGCCAGAGATCTTTCTGCACATGCTGCTGCTCCTTGTATGAGGTTTGAGAGGGGAGCAGGGAAGAGAATGGATGGAGTCACAAAGCTCTTTTGCTTGTCTCTTCATCGTTCTGTGGTGTTATTATCCTGCTGTTATTGTGCGGAGCCTCTAGAAAGAGCCCAAACAGGACAGAGCACTGCAGGTCAGCCGGAGGTCATGATCAGTGTTGGGAGTAACGCATTACAAAAGTAATAATATTACAGTAGTATATTACTTTTTGCTGTAACGCAGTAATATAACGCATTACTAATCAAATTTGGGTAATATTATTACTCGTTACAATCTCAGTAACGCAAGTTACAACAACATATTTTAACTCAAAATTAAGTGGTGAATTTACTAACACCACAAAACAGCACCAGCGAAAAAATTACTCGTGTAAAATAGTTCGTCTATTTCCTGTTGCTGGAATTAGATGGTTGAGATGACTGCAGAGACGGATTCTACATTTGTGAGATGGACACACTCCTGTTATGTTCAGTTCATCGGAGAAAAGGATAAGAATGCATAGTCAGGTGCAATATGTGCAACACCAAACTCTCAACATGGAGAAATAGCACGAGTAAAACCTGGAAACACCTAGACTGGTGCCACTAACACTAAGCGTGTGTGAACCTGGCGTTACATTTGTATGCCCGCCCGGTCTGTTCTGTTCTCGTGCTCCATTTAGGCGCGCTGCATTCTGATTGGTTCAGATAGCATACTGCGGGAGGTCGGGGGCGTGGAAAATCGTGCTATAAAGCGATTTAGAAATCGCACACGCTCAAATCGCGATTTTATGACGATTTCAATTAATCGCACAGCCCTAATACAGTTTCTCAGTTGATTGAGTGGGCGGTGTTAAACTGTTCTGACCTCTGTTTTCAGGATTACATCTGTCCGCGGTGTGAGTCCGGCTTCATCGAGGAGTTGTCTGAAGAGAGAAGGTAAAGTACTGACCTGCTGCTGTGGATCTGGAGAAGTGGAGAAAACTCAAACATAATGTTATGTTTTTGCCAAAACTTGTTTCTCTGGTTGGGATTCCACACATCAGGAAATCTGTTTGCTACATTGATTTCCTCAACAGGATGAAGACAGTTCAGCTCTAAACACTGTCTGTGAATGATTTTTACAAGTATTAGAAACAGAAAAACAATCATGTGAAGATTTGATCTTTTCTATCACTGAAATATGCATGTGCTATTTACCTTTTTTTTTTTTTTTTTTTTTTTTTTTTTTCTTCAGTTCAGAGAATGGGTCCACATCTACAGCCTCTAATGATCAGAATCGGCCCTCGTTTGAGGTGAGCTGTCATCCACTGTATCTCTGTAATTGCTTTTGGCTGCTGAGTTCACTTGGCATGCAAACTTTGATCCATATATATTGAGTAAAGTGTGAGATTTCTGGCCCACAATGCAAACTTTGACAATATGCATTTAACAGATGCTCTTATCCAGGGCAACATACAGATTTAGACTATGGTTAATAGATGGTAAGCATGCAAATCATAAATTGTTGAAAGCAGTGTAGAATATTCTTCCAGGCCTCCAGTATTGCATAGAAAACCACAGACGCCACATTAAGAAAATCATGTGTGAAACGACTGGCTGATTGAAGCTCACGAAAGCTTTACCTCTCACCCGTCAGAATGTGGACCAGCACTTGTTTACGTTCCCGCATGGTTACAGTCAGTTTGCTCTGGGGATCTTCGATGAGGGCTTCGACTTCAGAGCGGGTTTGCCAGCGGAAGATAACCGTGACGCGGAGAACCGCAGAGAGCGGGAGATGGCCTCACGACAGCGCTACGGGGCTAGACAGCCACGGGGGCGACACGTTCCCCGGAGACAAGGAGTGCGGCATGAGGGTGTACCCACTTTAGAAGGGTAAGAATTCAGCAGATGGCACTGTACTGCAGATTTATTCAGCCGGGTTTGCACTCTGAATTATTGAACTTTTTTTTTTTTAATTTATTGAAGATTGATCTATTCTGGATTCCCACTATAATGGAAAGAAATCAGGAATTTGTAAGGACTTTAAAAATGTGATTTCCAGGTCTAAAAATGTCAAGATAATCAATAATAATAATAAAAAAGAGAGATATATATTTATAAAATATGTATACAAATGCTATTTAGTCGATATAATAAAAAAAATGTATAAATAATAAATATATAATTGTATATATATATATTTTTTTTCCCCCCCTAGTTATTCTCAGCTCATTATAAAATGTACAAATATTTTTAAAACCTTACCTAGTAATCAACCTTTAGAAAATTCATTGGTCAAGGGTGTGGGGAACTATTTCATGCTATGGGCCATTACTGTAGACCAGAGGTGCCCAAACATTTTAGTATGAAAGGCCAAAAATGAAACTTGCCATGTGCCAAAAGTAAATATTTCATTATATGCAACTAAATTATATTGATATGTTTACAATTTAAATAATAATAATTTAAAAAATATTTAGATTATTTTTAATCAAATTCACTTGTGTGAACTTTATATGAAAAAAACTACAACTTTTTTTCAATGCAAAAATAAAAATATATTATAAATATAAAATGTATTAAAGGGGTCATATGACGTTGCTAAAAAGAACATTATTTTGTGTATTTGGTGTAATGCAATGTGTTTATTCAGTTTAAGGTTCAAAAAACACATTATTTTCCACGTACTGTACATTATTGTTTCTCCTCTATGCCCCGCCTTTCTGAAACGCGACGATTTTTACAAAGCTCATCGTTCTGAAAAGCAAGGTGTGCTCTGATTGGCCAGCTATCCAGTGCGTTGTGATTGGCTGAATTCCTCAAGTGTGTGGCGGAAATGTTATGCCCCTTACCATACTGTGATGCTGTGCCCCGGCACAATGAGACAAAACCAATAAAACCCATTAGAAACTAGGCATTTGTTGCATTCAATGGGGACATAATTACAGATTATAATGACTTATACTGACTTTTTACGCGTTGCGTATCGCGCCGCGTAAACATAAAACCATGTCTGCATTTGTGATCGGAGAAATGACAAACAACAAGCACTACTCTACACTGCCCAAAAAAACTCGCGTTTGAATCGTCAGTGACAAATTCTTTAAATATAAAAAAACGTACTTACAGTCTGTGAGTCAGAACAGCCGGCATTGTAGTCTACACTTCCAGTAAACAGTCCTCCATAAAATGTGCTGCACACATCTAGATATTTGGGTTAAACTGTTCTGGAACAGTGTTGTAAATACAACTTAACCACTGATTTCTAGTCGTGTCCTCTTTTGGAAGAACAAACAAAGTAGTTTCGCTTTCACAACAAAACACACAGCGCCTTCACGACATGGCGGCAGCAGTACTACAGCGAGAATCATAGTTACGCCTTCTTTCTTTGCGTATACATTTGGGCGGTATTATGCAAATCTTTCCACATAGTGACGTAGACATGTGGGGGCGTGTTTAAACGAGGAGTTTTAGTCTTTGCAACTAGGGATTAGGGCTGTGCGATTAATCGAAATCGAATCGAAATCGCGATTTGTAATGGTTTAATGGAAACTATAAGAATTTCTGTGGTGGTTTCTATTGTTTTTTTCAGCAGGGTAATGATACCCATACTGTGCTGCACATTATTGACAATATTGAGCTGAAGCTTGACTTTGCAAATTTAAAATCGCAATATCTGTCAAAAAAATCGCAATTTGATATTTTCCCCCAAATCGCACAGCCCTACTAGGGATCTTATCTATGCATGAACAGCTTGTAACACTCCAAAGAGAAAGGAAAACTTGAAATTGCATCATATGACCCCTTTAAAACCAAAATATAAATTAGAAATTTTTCCTATTTTCCCCCTACTTTTGTGATATGGCATGCCGGCCAAATCAAAGGTCATCACGCAGGCCCTGGTTTGGGCATCTCTGCTGTACACTAATAAAAAGTATGTTTATCAGTGTGTCGCTAGGTTTAAGGGTGGAATAAAATGTTTTTGTTATGTTTGAAAATGTTCATTTATTTTGTTTTCACAGAATCATTCAGCAGTTAGTTAATGGAATTATTGCTCCAACAGCTATGCCAAACGTGGCGATGGGGCCATGGTGAGTTGCCAGTGAAATTTTCTGTCTTTACATCATTTCTCAGTCTATGACAAACCACAGCTAATCACTGGACCCTAAACTGCTGTCCTACAGGGGAGTGCTGCACTCAAACCCAATGGACTATGCATGGGGTGCCAATGGATTAGATGCCATCATAACTCAGGTCTCAAGTGGCTTATTGCTTTATTTTATAACCACAAGAAATATGAAACTCTACAGAGCCTTGTGTTGCTATTACAAACCATTAAAAAAACTGTATAATCACATACTCATTTTTTGTCCCTGTTGTCGTCCTGTAGTTATTAAATCAGTTTGAAAATACGGGTCCCCCTCCGGCAGACAAAGAGAAGATTAAGAGTCTCCCTACGGTCCAGATAACACAGGAGCACGTGGGTAAGAAGACAGACGTCTGATACATGACCACACACTGCTGGAGCACAGCATCAGTGGATCTGGGTTTCATGTTTTAGCAGCGGTGCTTCAAACAGAGTGAATGTTGAGATTTCTCACAGAGGGTTCTGTATGCTGACAGCGTGATGTGCTTTAGCTTTCTAATTGTAACTGTTAGACGTCCCACATGGTGAACCCTCTCTGAAGCATTGCATCTCTAAATTCATCCATTTTTAAAGAGTCATCGCTGCAGCCGTCAAAACACTGCCTTTGTAAAAGATTCACGCCTTCCAGTGCAAACTTCAGACCTGCTGTGAGCAGAGTTCCTGTATTTATGTCTCTTTTTTTGTGAGCAAAATAACACTTTTGTGCAATAAGATAGATATTAAAAATATGCAGTGGTGGACGAAGTACACAAATCAAGTACTTGAGTAAAAGTACAGATACATATAATAAAATATTACTCCAGTAAAAGTAAAAGTACTTTTTTTTTCAATTTTACTCGAGTGAAAGTACAAAAGTACTCGATTTTTTTTATGTACTCAAGTAAAAAAGTACTGATAGATAGATTTATTTTGCAATTGTATATAGGCTACTTAATTAAATTTTATATTAGCACATATTTTTTATAATCCTACTGCTCAAAATACCTGGGATTTTCCCAAAATAACCACTATATGGAGTCAAGATATGTTTTGTTGTTGATATGGACTACATTGACGAGATATGGAATAACCATTTTATAAAAGCAATAAGCCCCGTGAAGCTGTGGTTTACAGTGAATGTATAACAGCTAAGGGGGTTTCCGCTTCGCGTCATACCTAACAACGCCCCTTTAGCTGTTATAAATTCACTTTAAACCACGGCTTCTTGGGGCTTATTGCTTTAATTTATTCACATTTGTGACCCTGGACCACAAAACCAGTCATAAGTGTAAATTTTTTGAAATTGAGATTTATACATCCTCTGAAAGCTGAATAAATAAGCTTTCCATTGATGTGTGGTTTGTTATGATAGGATATAAATTATAATATTGAGAAAATCGCCTTTAATTAAAGTTGTCCAAATGAAGTTCTTAGCAATGCATATTACTAATCACAAATTAAGTTTTGATATATTTACAGTAGGAAATATACAAAATATCTTCATGGAACATGATCTTTACTTAATAATGATTTTTGGCATAAAAGAAAAATCAATAATTTTGACCCATACAGTGTATTTTTGGCTATTGCTACAAATATACCCCAGCGACTTAAGACTGCTTTCGTGCTCCAGGGTCACATATATGTAAATATATACTAATATAGATAATAGATAAATGTTGTTCTATTCAAAGAAGAATCCTGAAAAATAAAGTGCATCACAGATTCCACAAAAATATGAAGCAGCACAACTGTTTTTGACATTGATAATAAGATATGTTTAACTCAGCATATTAGAATGATTTCTGAAGGATCATGTGACACTGAAGACTGGAGTAATGATGCTGAAAATTCAGCTTTGCATCACAGGAATAAATGACATTTTAACATATATTGACATAGAAAACAGTTGTTTTAAATTGTAATAATATTTCACAATATTACTGTATTTACTGTATTTTTGATCAAATAATTGCTGCCTTGGTGAGCAGAAGAGACTCTTTATTTTTTTTTTCAAAAGCATGAGAAATCGTACTGACCCCAAACTTTTGAATGGTTAAATATATAACAAATAACACCTACACAATACTGTTCAATAAATAATTTGCCCAATTACAGTTGGCTAGTTGTCTAGTAATTCAAACAACCCACAGATTGGTCAACTTTGAAAATATGTACTGTATATTTTCACATTCTCAATAACAGTGCAGCCAGTTTCAACTCACCATCGTCATTGTGATATAATGTTTGATCCGGGATGTTGATGCTGCTTATTTCTGACGTGTGTGTTTTTGTGGTTCAGGTGCTGGTCTAGAGTGTCCTGTCTGTAAAGAAGACTACAGCGCAGGAGAGAACGTTAGACAACTTCCTTGCAATCATCTCTTTCATAACGACTGTGTAGTTCCCTGGCTTGAGCAGGTGTGTTTATCTTCTGTTTTATTTCATTTCTCCATACTTCATCTAAACTCAAAATATTGACAACTTTTGAGCGTGTATATTCGGTCGTTAATGAGTGATCCAGATAAAGGCAGTTTCAATTTGTAGTTTGTGACATTAATTTCATGGCTCATGGTTCTGTACAGAAAGGCAGGAGTTTGCAAATTGAATTTGTGCTAATAGCTGCTGCTGATGTGTTTGGGTTCATCGTGTTATACAGCACCTTTGAACTCGGTTACTTTTTCTAATGAATATGCATGTGTTGCAATCAAAAAGTACTTGTGTAAAAGTAATACGGCAGGCTTTCAGAAATATGCTTTTGTCAAAATCAGACACTTCTAACTTTGTTAATTATAACTTGATGACAAGAAAATGAACAGGATGGGAAGAAAGAGCTGAAGTTAGTCATTGCTCAGTGAGGGATTGTTAGCGCACATGTCAACTGTCAACCTAAAGTTCAGGCTCATTTTTTGTAACTATTCAAATGTTAATATAACTTTTTAAATATTATTATTATCTATTATCTAAAATTTTATATATTATTCATATTACCACAGTATGACCTAAAATCCATCACAGATGCTTACAAATGTTTGTGCTGCTGTTTTGAAACTAACAATAATTTATGGAAAAAAAACTAACTGAAACGTTTTAATTAAATGAATATTTTTTAATTATGTTTTTTCATTGTAGATGTTTGTGCAGCATTCAGGGGCATGACAAAAATGTTAACATCAAGTTCACTTCTTTGTTCACTGTATATTACAAAATAAAACTAACAACAAATTCCCGTTTTTTGTTTGATATGTCTAACATATTAAGATTTAAAGACACAAAATTGATTCAGTAAAATGTTTGAATGTTTTTGAAAGTATGCTCAAGGCATTTATTTGATCAAAAATACAATAAAACGGTAATATTGTGAAATATTATTGTGATTTAAATATTTTCTATTTGAGTATATGTTAATATAATTTATTTCTGATTATTACTCGTCTTCAGTGTCACATGATCTTTCAGAAACAGGGTTGTTAGTTAAAACTTAAACTAAAATCATAAAAATTTTTGTTACTTGAAATAAATTAAACTTTAACTAAAATCAGATCAAATAAACTTATTTAATTTAAGCTGGTTGCCAAGGCAACATTTGTCATTTTCATTTAGTTTGACTTTATGTAGAAAAATGACTAAATTAAAATGAATGAAAACTATAAAGACGTTTAAAATTAAAATATCATATAAATATAAAAAAAGTTTATATTTTTAAAAATGACAAGCACAACAAAATTACTAAAATTAAATTAATACAATTCAAAATATTAAAACTGTACTCGTATCTTGATGAAATGATCATTCTAAAATGCTGCTTTGCTACTCAAGAAACATTTCTTATTATCAATATTATCAATGTTTTTTGCAGAAACCATGATGCATTTTTGTCTTTGTATTAGGGCTGTGCGATATGGACAAAACAAACCTATCGCGATTTTTTTTGATCAATTTTGCGATTTCAATTTTAATCACAATTTTGACACACACAGACATGCTTTACAGTCATAAATGCATTCAGTGTGAATTTGAAACATATTTCCAAAAGAAAACCAATTAGAGCTTTATCAAAAAGCTGTAACATGTCTCTAGAACAGACATAAGGCAAAATAATCACTAAGTAAAGGTGTAACAAAATGTCTCTAGAATAGACATATATGGCAGAAAAAAAAAAAAAAAATCCTGTGTCCAGGGATTTTTTTGCCATGCATTGGTCATAGAGCTCTTTGTGGCGTTGCCTCAGATGTTGAACTAGATTTGTTGCGCCAAGTTCACACGCACTCCGTCTGCAGTGCGTATACAGTATGTGTATGCGGTGCAGAAGCAGCACGGACTCATTTTGCTTTCGCACAGGACGCGTTTGCAGTCCGCTCCTGATCCGCGGCTGTTTACCACACACAACATTTATCCATTATTTTGATTTCAAGCACGCTCAAATTGCGATTTTATGACGATTTCAATTAATCGCACAGCCCTACTTTGTATATAAAGTTAAGAACAGCGTTACATGTTTTGTCTGTGTGTTTCCCAGCATGACACGTGTCCAGTGTGCAGGAAGAGTTTGAGTGGGCAGAACACAGCCACGGATCCACCCGGCCTATCAGGGATGAACTTCACCCCCTCTTCCTCCTCCTCTTCCTCCTCCAGCTCTCCGAGCAACGAGAATGCCACCAATAACTCGTAAGAGCTCAGCCGAGAGCTCGCCAAACCCCCCGAGAGAACAATACACTCTTCTATTGCTTCAGACAGCGTTTCCTTGCTTTTTTTTTACACCGCTGAACTTTAGAGCGATCATTCCTCACCTGTCCGCGTGACGTGCTTTTAATCAGCAGAAAGCGTAAGAAAAATGCTGAGGAAAAGAGAGAGATGAAGGAAAAGAGGAAGAGGATGTTACTCAGCGATGCCGGTGCCAGATCTGAAGACACACCGAGCTGAACTGCGTTTTAGAAGCAGACTTTGTGTCTCTCCAGAGGGACGCGGTCAAACCGAACCTTTTGTTTTTTATCCTTTGATTTTTATTTTACGGATAAAAGTGGCTGATATGTGAACGTGAGTATGTGTGAATCTCACACAACCGGTCAAGGTCACGTTTCACCCCAAAATCAGAAGAAAAAAAGAATCTGTGTATTATGCTAAACGCCTGTTTTAGAACCACCAATAACTTTTTGAATAACATTTTGAAATTTTACAGTTTGCCGTAATGCAAAAAATCAGATTTTCATTACAGTAATACGAAAAAATATGATTGAATTCATGTTTATAGATTATATTGTTAGTTGTACTGCCTTTAATTTGATTAATCATTTTATTACAGTATTTTATATTGTAATACTACATTACAATAATGAGTAATGCATTACTGAATGCATTATTGTAAATAATTGTCATGAAATTAACGAAAATATAGTCATTTTAGGCTTAATACATTTTTATTTTCTTTTGATGTTGGGGTTAAATAAAACCTGGTCGTGTTTTTTTTGTGATTCACCCATATATATGAAACATATTTATTGAAAGAAGCAAAAAATAAGAGCTGCGTCATATTGTGAAAAGCCAAGCGATCCAAGAACATCTGTGACTGAGGAAAACACTGAGTGCAGGTTTCTCCTAATATTTATTTGCACAGCGAAGGTTATTAGAACATTGAACAAACAGAAAAGTGTGAATGTTTTTTGGCAACATTTGATATGATTTTCTACATTTAGCATCGTCCTTAAAACTCATGAGAGAAGTAGATTTTCTCTATTTCACCCTGCATTTTTTGGGCCTTTATCCAAACGGCACACGGCCCGAGAAGGTGAGAAGCTCTCTCTTGCTTTCTCTCAGTCTTTCTTTTTTTTCTTTTATATTTTAAAATCTCCTCACATTCAGTTGTCTTCTCTCAGTCTGCCACACATATTCAGTGACTTTCAGTTCAAGGCAACTTTTTTTTTTAAACTTATTTTAAGTTAAATGGTTTGTTTTTTGTAAATCATAATAAAGGAGTCTTTCTTTTTTTTCTTTTATATTTTAAAATCTCCTCACATTCAGTTGTCTTCTCTCAGTCTGCCACACATATTCAGTGACTTTCAGTTCAAGGCAACTTTTTTTTTTTTTACTTATTTTAAGTTAAATGGTTTGTTTTTTGTAAATCATAATAAAGGAGAAGAACAAATGAATGTATGTATCACTGCTGATGATGAAATGTTTCATATAAACTCATTTGTCTCTCTACAGATCACGAACACAAACTAACACCAGAGTTTCTGTGTTTCTTCCAATTCTTTATTCTAATAGACACTTTCAAAGGTCAGTGCTGAAAATTAGAAATAGGTTTTTTCTATTTAATTTCAGTTAATAGTTATTTAAATTAACAAATTTATGTACATGGTTTTTAGTATTTATTGTAATTCTAATCTAACTGAAAATTAGAAATTAGTTCAAGTTTATTAATATTTTATTTCAGTAACATGAACTCTTTTTTTTAATAAATGTAAATTAATGTACACTTATATATTTTTAGTATTTATTATTCCAATTTTAAATATTCATTTTAGTACTTTAACTGAAAATTAGAAATAAGCACGTTTAATGGTTTTTCAGGCATATTTTTTAGGATTTATTATAATTTTTAAATAGTCATTTTACTTATTAGAAATTAATTTGTTTATATTTTATTTTGGTTACCATTTATTTTCTTTAAATTAATGTAAATGTATGTACATAAATTGCAACACTGATATGCAGGTATATATTGCAACTTTTTTTTTTATTGTTTATCACTATGTAACCAAAACTCAAATAATGAAGTTTTCATTTTACACTCTAATTCCTCAAGCGGCAATTAAAGCTGCACTATGTAACTTTTGGCACTGTAGCGGTTAATAAACAGAACTGCACACATCCCGCGGAAGAACATTCCAACCGGAGCTACTTAGTCACCTACATCTTGGATGCCCTGGGGGTAAGCAGATAAACATCAAATTTTCATTTTTGGGTGAACTATCCCTTTAAGGAGCCATTATTTATTCATTTTTGTTGATTTGCTGCTGCATTTTTAAACTAACCGGTTACTGTCTGTTCCAATATAATATATGCTACTCCATTCTTCAACAGCCAAGAGCTGAATCTTGAGACAGATTCATTAAAACAATGTGCTGGTCATGTTCAGATCGGACTGAATGATCAGCCAGTCGTCTGATGGCAGAAAGCTGCCCAGGTTCTGTCTCAGTGAAGTGTTGAGTTGTGTCTGATCTCCAGCCAGACTCCAGTAGCAGCTGCTAATTGAGATTATCTGCGAGAGTGACCGGTCTGTTGCTGCAAACTCATTTTGAAGTGAATTTACTGTTGGCTATAAACAGCTCAAGCAGTCCCTGTACTGTACTGCTGTGTGTTTTCAGACCGAGAGCTCTCTCTGCCCTCTTGCAGTGTGCTTTTAGTCGACGCACCAAACCAACCATGTATAGAGACTTGTGGGCTGTTTTGACTTGCTGCCTCGCTGCTGCTCTTATGCTTCACTCTTAAAAATAAAGGTTCCCGAGGAGGGTTTTTCATAGTGATGCCACAGAAGAATTCACCTTTCAGTGATCAGTTCCTAACATTTTAATAGAATAAAGAATTGTTTTCTGCTATAAAGGAGCTTTTGTGGAGTGGAAAGATTCCATAATGTTAAAGGTTCTTCATGGAACCATCGATGCTAATAAACAAGCTTCATTTTTAAGTGTTGATGCACCGCGATAAAAACATATTCCTGTAAAACATCTTCTTGATCGGGCACTAAATGGTCTAAGTTTCAAGTATGCACTAAACAAATGCATCTTCAGTGTTATTTTAGTATTATTTATATAATATATTATTTATTAATGTTTTGAATTGGCTTTTATTAGTATATTTTCCGTTTTTATTTTAATTTTAGCTTTTGTAATTTTATGTTTTTGTCATTTCTCTTTTTCTATATTTCCATTACTGTTTTTGAGTTTTAGAAATTTTAGTACTTCAGTGGTACTTTATTTAGTTGCCAAAACAACAATCAGCGTCAGCGAGCACAAGGTAAGATCTGACCGTCTGCAGGGCTTCCTCGGTAATGACTGCAGTCTGCTGCTGTAGGTCAGCATCAATGATATTCAAGGAGGAAGATGACTTGCTTTTTGGAGGTGATGTGCTCAGGAAGATGCTTTCTGATTGTGGAAGCGGTCAAGAGCAAATGATCAGCTTTCTCTCGTGTTTGATCGATGTTCATGTCATGCATATGTCTGTTATGACAGCAGAGAACACTCAGTGAGTTATGATTCCTGCGTTGTAAATCTGGAATTTTTTTTGCCCCCATTTAAACCTGGAAAAAAGGATGATGTAAAATGAGGAAATATTTCAGATTATGCAGAAAACCAATTTAAGAAAATTAATATTTTCCTGCTTCCATTGAAGCACATAATGCTCTTTGCAACCGTGCAAGGTTATTATAGTTAATTAACATGAAAACTGAAATTTATATTAAAACCATCAAAAATGTTACTTCAAATAATTACAACTGTTAATTTAAGTTCACTTGACATAAAAGAATATAATATATATATGAATTTATATTATATAAAATCATTATATATATATATATATATAATTTGAACTTTTAGTTACATTTTATATTTAAAAATATATAGTTTTCAGTCATTTTTATTTCAGTTTTAGTTCAATTTAAATGTACAATTATTTCAGTTTTTTTATATGTTTTTATTGTAATGTTACTAAAATAACACTGTTTGGAAAATTCTCAAGTTATTATCCTATAATATAATGTGTAATTATATTTGTGATTAATATATTTAATTATAATTTTTTATATTTTTGTGTTTTAATATTTTGATAAATACATACATATATTTGAATAATATATTAGCAAAAATGTGGTCTTTGTCTTGTCCTGCTGGATTTCTTTTTTTTTTTCCCCCTTCTTTTTTTTTTTCTTTCATGGCAAACATTTTTGAACATTTCAGCTAACATCTATATGTTCACTCAGAAAAAAAAGTACAAAGTCTGTCACTCAAAAGGTATACATTTGTAACTTATTTACCCCTATAGTACCTTAAATGTACGCATTAGTATCTAAAGTGTACATATTAGTACCTTTTGAAAGGGTACTGCCCTATTGACAGCTTTTGTACCTTTTTTTTTTTTTCTCCGTGAGAGTGTTTGATATAAAATACTTCTGAAGATTATTGCTACATTGGTTTTGAGAACATCTGGGCAGATGAGGTCATAGAATAGTCATATTTCTTCTTCTTGAAATGACACTCTGTATTTGTTCTGTTGGAGATCTGACAAGTGTATGTGCGCTTTGGGGTTCCTGAAGACATTCAACAGGTGTTTAAAGCCGAATGACTCCAGTGGCTGTCCGGAGCTGTTTTGTGTGAGCGGCTGTAGTTCCGCCTGTGCGCCGGTAGGTGGCGCCACGCTGCAGTCTGACTGCGCTCTGGTGATCGTCATTGAGCGCATCCTCTGCTGTTATGATATCATAACGCCACGAAGACAGCTGCAGTTTTTAGACACAAAAAGTGCCAGACTGTTTATGCGACAATAGTAACTACAAATATTCCAGCCATCTGTTTATGAATGCGAACTCAGTCATTTATAGATTTCTGCACAGACACGACAGACTTGATTGATTACTTTTTAAGTCAGTAGGACAGTGAAGACAATAGATGAACAGAACGAAACGTGCTTT